TGTAGTCCAAATATGGTCGCTTCTGTTCACTGGTTGCAAAAAACCAAGATGGCGTTGGCCAAAATCCAAGATGGCGATGGCAACAATGCCAAACTCAAGGATTCAAAACAGCAGTCCACAACTCGATGAGTGACATCACGATGACTACGTCCACTTCTTACATACAGTCTATGAGATATACTGACATGTTTTGTGAACCATAGGTGGCCTTACTTTTCATGGTGGAAGACAGAAAGAATAGAAACTAAAGGTAAACCAATAAATGTGAGGTTCCTGATTACAGTTCAATACAGAGTGTAATGGACACGTTGACTTCCTGACACCAAATTGCCCCAATGTCCAACTTCAAAAGAAAAGAGAACCTCTTCTCACACAAGCCTGGATTATTAGAAACTATAACTTTGTGCAAGTCTTCCTTTAGATATTTCTTTCCGTGGAGAAATGAAACGACCAAAAAAGGACCACATCCTGTTGATCTTTTTTGCAGCCACAGGTTCAAACCCACATCAAACTGCTTTCAGTCTGCCACTTCTGTGGTGTTTCACACCAGACTCGCAGTAGCTGGCTTTTCTAGTACCTAATTAAAACAAACTGTGATCTTTTGTCAACCTGCCGCATTAAATAACGGTTAAAAATTGATCTTAAATATGAAACTCACAAAAAATCAAAAGCCTGCACCTGAGCAGCGATGTTGTGTTTGCTGCAACTGTGTCCTCGTAGGGAAGGATAGTTTTCTAAGTGTTATAGTCAGGCCTAGTTGTTTTTGTCATACAGTTGTCCCACTGCGGGACTAATAAAGGATTATCTTATTTTATCTTATCTTGTATAACCATAAAGGAAATCAAACATTAAGGCAATTACTGAACAACTTCCTGTCTTGGTTTATTCCTGGTCAGGTAGGAGAGTGCAACAAAACATTGGCATCGCAGTCGGTGAACGGCTGGAGGAACACCGTGTACCTGGTTTGAATTTCACTATAATCTGTTAAAATAAATATGTAAAACCGTATAAGTTGCCTTTCCTTTCTGTGCGCAGAGGTGATGTTTTTAATCTCCTGTACTTATTTACATGCTACAGCGATCGTTTTATATGCGTCAGCCGCCACGGGGCACCTTCGACGCCTTTAATGGCTTTAGGTGCTGACACATTTTCAGTGTTATCTTAGAATGGGAATATAACAACCGGTTTAGTTAACATTTAGCCCCATTTAAACCTTCCGTAGTCACATTTTGAAAATGATGAAGCAGAGGGTTCCCTCGAGCTTTGAAGGGTGGTTCAACAGCAGAAACCACTTAAAGTTACAATACATATCCCTGTTGTAGTTGGCGGGACATGATGTGCCATCACAATTGCTTTGATTATTATCCATCAATATTTATGTTTTGGTTAATCATTTAATGGCTTAGTCCATTTCTGAATTGGCTAAGTGGATAGTCCTTCAATCAGAGGATTGGCGGTTCGATCCCCGGCTCCGCTAGGCACATGTCGATGTGTCCTTGAGCAAGACACTGAACCCCAAAATAGCCCCCGTAGCTATAGCGACGGTGTAAGTCACTTTGGATAACGTCTGCTAAATGGCCGTAATGTAATGTATTAATAAACAAACCCTCTCACACAAATGCACAGGCAAATATCAGTAGTTGTACATGATAGACTGTCAACTATTTGTTTTCACCTTTACCAACTGTAATTATTAATGGGCATACAGGATCTGTGACGTCATCACAAAGTTTAGTCTGTGGTTCAAGAACTCTTGGGCGGGCCAGTGGGAGAAACACTACTGCAACTTTTTTAACGTATGTGTCGGGCGACTGAATAGGCGCCATCTTGTGTACAGTTGTTATAATGCATCCATGGCCGAACCACCTATGATCGCATTTTATAAGCTAGTGGAGAATTCAAGTTTGTCTTTTTAAAGAACATGGGCTTTTGGAGAAAAATGCTATTTGGTAATATGAGAGTAACACATGCCACTGTATCTGATTTTGTCTCTATTTTTGTTTTTATGCGTTTGAAAAACAAAAAATAGGAACTGAGTTGTGTAACTATAAAAACATGTCATGAATAAAAAATAAAAAATAAACAGGAACCAGACACCATTGATCACTTTCAAGCCAAACTGGAGCTTTCCTTCTATTAATAGCAATACAACTAACTTATAACTTATGAATCATCTATAGTGATACTGATCAACACTGTACCACGTTTATGTTCTTACATATAAGCTCAGAGAAAGCTCATTTAAAGTCAGAAGAAACTGAAATTGTATTATCTTAAACTGTTCTGATTGTGTGTTCCATCTGCATAAAAAAAAAACAAATCTTTAAAGTGGTATGTGGAGGTTTGCACATATTTAGTCATAGCAGAATTGTGAGGTGTGTCTTTGCATCGCTATATCTGAAACAATGGCACTGTTAACACACTTCTAGTGAAGCATTGCTGCACCGCACCTGCAGAGTCCGTCGAGCTCCAGCGAGCTTTTGTTAAGCCGGTCCCGTATGTATGAAGTGGGACGAGCTCATTAAACGTTGCTCACAGTCTCACTCAAGTAGGCCACTGCTGATACAGAGGGTGTGTCTGTTTAATACTGTCACCAACATAAAGCTATCACGCTGCTTCTTTCAGTGTGTGTGTGTGTGTGTGTGTCTGTGTGTGTTGGTAGCTTTGAGCCAAAAGAGTTTGCCGTGCCGCCCCGTGTGATTGTTTTGGTATCGGGTCTGTATCACCATGTACAGTATCACCTATAACGAGGCTAAACAAATGACACGCTCAACGTACAGTGTATTTGTTTTCTGACACTGACTGTACTGTGTATTTGATGAACATTTTCACAAACATTTCATCCAATCAAATTAGTATTGATACTGCTGTTATAAAGAGCTACAGGACACGGACACGCAAGATTTTTTAGCTGCTGTTGCTTTTGTTTTAAGTCTCTGGGTCTGTCATTTTAATAAAGTATATAAACGTATCGTCCTGTGTCAGGACGATCTACATCCCTGTGCGTGTTATTATCTGTATAGACAATACTGTAGACACGGCAGGGGGATGGATCAGAAAACAGGTTTCAAGTAAAGTATTGATCTCGTGTTACTAGACGTCAGAGTGAGCTCCAACATCGAATGTATTAGTCTTCCAAGAAGGACGAGACATCTTAATGGTCCCTTTGTGTCGTTTTTTTTTTTTTTTTTAAAGTACAGTGTGATAATTGGGGGGGGGGGGGGGGGGGGGGGGGTATGTTGCCTCTGTAGGTGTTATATTACCACGGTGATGTAGGTAACAAACCACAGGGGACCTGTGAGTAAGGGTGTGTGTTGTGTTTTACGTTTGTGTTCGCTTGTGCATCAAAACCAACCAGCTGATAAATATTTCACTTGACTGACAGCCAATCAGAGGGGGACCAGAGGCTGCCAATGGCAGACCAGAGAAGGAAGACGGTGATGAGTTTGGTGACATTGTCACCGGACGAAAGAGAAGCAGATATAGAAACACGTTTCCATGCATTCTTTTGACTTACGAATAAGACAATATTCGTCCTGGGCTGTTTCATTGGCTGATGAAAATGAATCTTCCACTAATATTCCAGAGACCGTGCATTACCATAACCATGCGTGTGAACACAACCTCCCTCTTTCAATGGCAAAAAAGTGCATAAATGTCCACTTTTCAAACTTCTCCTGCAGCATAATCCACATCTCCGCTGCCTGCCCGCCCATACAGTACGCTAATTAGATTTCATTATGTATTCATAATGCTCATGTCTTCTCCAACACGTGTGTGTGAGGCCGCAACAGCTGCCACTTCCTTTCATTTGTCAGGGCGAGTGACTGCGTGAAAGCCACTAATGTTTCATTCAAATAGTCTTCAGTTTCCCGGGTAGAAGTCAGTGGAAACGTTTGGTTAGAAAAACTGACTTTTGCATTTTCACACACAGAGATGGAGAGGACCGACCTCACATCTTCTCTCTCCACGGCTGTCACATTATGGGCCACACTTTCCAGTCTCTTTTCTGACCGCAGCCGGTGCTGCTGAGAGCACACGGTCTGATCGTGTTATTTGGAGGTATTCTAAAACACCCTGGTGTTGGATTTCTCACCGTTCTTCATATCTTACTCGCATCTTGAGTGTGCAGCAGAGTCAGCTCAATGATTGATCGGCACCCCGTATTTTGCACCTCTACCTGTGGAAACGGCGGTTGTAAGTGTTTGTCAGTTCAAAGATTGAGGATTGTAAATGATTGTAAAAGTGTTGAAAAGGTTGAAGGCAACATGTGATGTACATGTCACATGTTGCCTTCAACCTTTTAGTATCCAACATGGTGATGAGAGTAAAGGGCAGTCCCTGAGCTAGTTTGGATCAAAAATAGTTATATCTGGCCCTTTCAAATATAGCTTATGATTTACGAATTACAGTTCCTGTCTTTTTCCCCCTGCTCGGGACTGCCTGTCTTGTTTTATGATGCTTTGTGGGTGTGATTTTTTTATTTTTTTTGCCCTGTCATCACCATTTACATGTGTTTACAAGAACACAAAGTCCTTCACAGACCTAGCCCCTTCATTTTGCTCTCAGAGTCCAACAGATTAACACATTTCACTTCAATATACACACAGTTTTCCCTGCAGGGAAGCATGCCTCCGGACCCCCTTGACACAAACTGGGAAACACTGTCATATGTTAAGAGTGCGATATAAACTGGGATTTATAGTGATGGAGCAGCTTTATTGGTCGTGGACGAAGGCTCTATATTGCAGGAAATGGCGCTTTCAGGTGTTGGTGAGATTAAGAACGTCCTGCCATACCCCCCCTTGCCTGCACCAATCTTGCACCCCCACTGTGACACAGGTCGGTGTTTTAAACAGGTCCGTCTCTATCTCTGACCTTTGTAAAAAATGACTGGGCTGAAAAGAAAGGGCTCGTCCACTTCGTCCTAGCTCTGACCACGAGTCTACCTTCCCGCCATTAATCACGTCCCTTTTTGTCTCCCTTTTTTTCCCCTTCAGACTCTGAGAGAGAGGAGGAAGGCCGGCGAGCAGACGGCCGGAGAGACGGGAGACGAGACGGGAGATGAGCCGGCGAAAGAGGAGGACGAGAAGGCCGATTACAACCGCTGCAGCTCCGTGGACCTGGACAAGGTGTGTGTGTGTTTCTGTGAGAGTCCCAGCATCTCTTTTTGTTTATGTGTGTGTGTGTGTGTGT